AGCCAAAAAACTTTGTCAAACTTCAAACTTCAGAGCTCCCTAGTGGCAAGGAAGGGAGGGGAAGAGAACTTCAACCCCCTCCAGCTTCCCACCCCCTTTCCCCAGAGTCACGTCTGACCCGTCTGGTTTCCAGGAGCAACCAGACATGATGTAACACCCAGATGAACTTGAACTTGGGGGTGTTGAGAAGAAAAACAATGGCTCCGAACAGGGGCTGGAGCCAGCCCCCTCTGTTCTGTGCCAGGGAGGCCGAGAGAGTCCTGCTGGCAGAGGTGGGAGGGGGTGCCAGAGGAAGAGACAGCAGGCGGGCCTCCCCTCCCAGCTCTGGGCTGGCACCAGGCGGCAGGGCTCCATCGCTCCCTCCCTCCTGCTGCCTGCCTGGGCTGCTCGAAGCTCTGCAGTCCTGCGCTCCGGGGACTACTGCCACAGCCCTCTCTACTCAACCCGTTTCCGCTGCCTCCTTTACTTTCTTTGCTCACTTTGCTGGGACGTTTGAGGGCCAAGTCAGAGTTTGAGGCAAGTTTGGGAAAGTTTTTCTCCCCTCATGTTCCCTGCCTTGGGCTCCAGGAGGTAGGAGGGAGTCCCAGTGGGGCTTCAGGGCCCCTGAGCAGGCAGGTGTATCTGGGAGTGGTGGGGAGAGCTGGAGCTGGACAAGCGGAGCTGGAGCCCTTGGGCCTGGGGGCAGGCAGGCGGCTGCTATGGGCGCAGGGGGTACAGCCGGGGCTGGTTTCCACAGTAACCAGTGACTTTAGCTGATCTCTGGAGCACCAGATGGAGAGAGAACAATAGAATGAGGGAAGAAAAGAGAATTTTAGCAATTTTGTCATTCCCTGGGCAGCGCTTTTTACTTAGTTTTAATCAATTTTGGACCTGGCTCAGGAAGTAGGGAGGGGGGAGCAGAGAAAGCCGCTCTGTGCTTGGCAGCAGATCCCTCATTCCTGGGACCTGTGGGGAGGCTCCGGGGAGCCCCCTTGGGGCAGCCTTTGTCTCTAACTCCAGGCCTGGAAGCAGAGTCTTCCTCCCCTGAGGAGGACTCCCCCCAGTCTAAGCATTGGCAGTTGTGGGGCCCTGGCATGGTCTGCCAGGGGCAGATAGGGCATGTGGGGCCCTCCCTGCCCCAGCTGTCCACAGGCCCCATTTGCCTGGTGGGGAGAGGGGTGGGGTCACCACCAGAGCCAGCTTCCCCTCAACCTTGGGGCAATGGCACAGGGTTCCTGTATAGTCTCCCCTCGGGAAGGGGGTTCCAGGGAGCAGGCCTGAGCCTGCAGCGGGTAGGGTGTCATCCAACCCAGGCAGTTCCCGCCCCCAGGTCTGGGCCAGAAGCCCAGGGGCTAGCTGCTGACCACTTCTCCCCCACTTACTCTAGGGATGCCGCAGGGCTGGGTTTCCACCTCAGCCTCGCCAGGCCCCAGTGAGCCTCTGTTTGGCCTGTAGTCAACTGATGACGGGTTGGATTTGGGGCAGGTGCTTGAGGAGCCCCACTGAGGGAGGGCAGGTCTCTGTGTGTGTACTGACCAGCACATGCAGGAAGTTCAGCAACTCTGCCCGCCCAGCAGTGCCTGATTATTGTGGCAATCCCAAACCCCCACATTTCCAGATGCTCTTGATCTACACCATCCATTGTGGTAGCCACAGGCCACGTTTGGCTGTTTACATTTAAATTAACTTATTAACTAAAGAAAAATTTAGTTCCTCAGTTACAGTAGCCACATTTCAAGTGCTTAGAAACCACTTGTGGCTAGTGGCTACTGCACTGGGCAGGGTAGATAGAGAACATTTCCATTGTCACAGAAAGTGCTAGATGATCTCTAAGGCCCTTTCTAAAACTCAGTATCCCCATCCTCAGTCCCAAACCAGAGCCTGAGAGCAGGTCTGGCCTGCAGGCAGAATGTTTGACCAAAGCAATGTTTTAAATATTGGACAGTTTCACATGAAATTCTGTCTGGACTTCTGGCTGCTTTTGCAAAATTGGCAGATTTGCTGCCCTGGGCTCTCACCATGACCCTAGGGACGGCACAGGCATTCTAGCACCACACACCCTGCTTCCACATGCTCATAGCACAGGCAGCAGTTAGGAGCACTGCCTGTACTGCCCTTTTTTTTTTAACATATAATTTTTTTTTTTTTTAAGAGACGGGGTTTCACCACGTTGGCCAGGTTGGTCTCGAACTCCTGACATCAGGTGATCTGCCTGTCTCGGCCTCTCAAAGTGCTGGGATTACAGGTGTGAGCCATCGCACCTGGCCGCACTGCCCCTTACATTTGAACCCTGACTTTGTTGTCCAAGGGCTGTGTGGCCTCAGGCGGGTCACCCACCCTCTCTTTGCCTGGATTCCCTGTGGGGTCAGGTCAGGGTGGAGTAAACCAGGACCTGGTATTCGTTCTGTAGTTGGCTCTGCCTGGTCCCTGCAGACCAGTGTCTGTGACAGCCTGGGAGAGGCCCCAAGATGCATTTTCAGGGGCCCCGAGATGCATTTTCATGGACCCCAAGATGCATTTTCAGGGACCCTCATTTTGCCCCAAGGGTACTACCAGGTGCACCAGGCCCAGTAGATCACAGTAGACCCTGACCCACCTCTTTGCTAGGAGGTGGGGCTGGAGCCTTTGATGGAAGGCATAGCCAAGCAGCCCAGTCCCTTGGGATCCACCCTGGGTGTGCTCTGAGCTGAGCCACCAGACACAGGCAGAGAAGGCCCTGTCTGTGGGAAGGCAGCGCCCCCTGCTGGCATTGTGAAGGAAGTGATGCTCACCCCAGGGAGCCTCAGGTCCTTCCTCAGTGTCTAGTGCCCTGAGGGTAGAGGATCCGGGCTACATGGCCCCTCCCCTAGGCCTGGCACTACTACGGACTGCAGCCATGTGGTTCCCCCACCCCCAGCCTTTCAGCCTGTGGGACCTTGGCTGGGGTGTATAGATGGGAATTTCTGCTTTTAATCCAAAGAGACAGAAAGAAAACTCAGCAAGAAGCTGGGCCACCGCCACCCCATTCCCAAAACCCCTCTGGGTACAAAAGCCCCAGCCTGGCATCTTCCCCACCCTCCAGGACCCACACAAAAACCTAAACAATTGGAAACATGGCCAGATCTCAGGCTTGTGCCAGCGCCAGCCATGGGGGTCCCACCCGCTGGGCACAGTGCCCACGGGAAGGCCAGCTGGACTCTAGCACTAGGGGCAGAGTCTGAGGGGGTGGGGTTCTCATAGGAGGGAGGGAGAGAATGGGGATGCCCTTTCTCCCCCACAGGAATGAGGGGGGTGGTGGCTGTCTGCATCCTGGCCCTTTGGGAGCTGTCCCTTGAGGGGCCAGTTCACCCAGCCAGGTAGGAGTGAGATGGGGCCTGCCCTAGCTGTTCTCAGCATTGCCTCTTTTTCATCCCGTTCCAGTCCTGGTTCCTCTGATAAGATCGACAAAAGAAACAACAAAATGAAAAGAAGAGGTTCCTTGAAAGGGGGGAGAAGAAATTTTGAGACATGGAAAAATCCCCCAGCCCAGCCCAGCCCCACTGAAAAGCAAAAATTAGACCGTCGTCAGCCACTCAGCCCTTCTCTCCTCCAGCCCGGGGACCCCTGCGGGCCCCAGAAGCAGCCCAGTTCTCGGAGAGCCCCTGGAAGGGGTCTCAGTGGAGCTGTGCACCAGCAGCCAAGCAGAAAGAAACATGCGACACGGACTCTGTCAAGTAGAGGACAGAAAGCAAGAAAGGATGCAGAACTGCCTTCCTCCCTCCACCCTGCCCCGGCCTTCTGGGGAAGGAACAAAGTCCCCAAACAAAGCAACCAGCACAGTTCTGAAAGGGCCTGGCCTCCACCCTCACCCCTTCCTAGGGGAACCCCACCCTCCACATGGCAGGAGCTGCCCTAGGGAGCCCGGAGGACCAGCTTGTAAAGATGATGGGATGTAGATCCCATGGGCTCTCTCCTCCAGACTCCTCCCCTCCCTCCCTCCCTCCCTGCCAAGGCTCCAGCTTCTTCCCCCAGCTGCTCCGGACTGGGAGAGGGAGAGCAGCCTCCACTTACCCCAGCCCACCCTCGGGCTAAAAGCCTCCAGGCGGGCAGGGGGGTGGCCCCTGGAGCTAGTTGCGCGTCCCAGAATGGAGGGTGTTCTGCCACCCTACCCTGAGCCGCAAGAGCAGTTCCTGGGGCTCTGGACCCCTCTGTACAGTCTGTAGGAAAAATCGGAATGCTCTCGATGGCTTCGTCCCAGCCCGGGACAAGCCCCCTCTCCCCTTCCTCTGCAGGTCAGGAGGGCCTCCTTCCAGCCACAAGGGAGGGGAGTCAGGCCCCAGGTCACCCCCACCCCCAGCCCTGCATGCAGGTGCCCTCGCTCCGCCCCATAAGTCCCTGCCCCTGCCTCTCACGCAGACTGCCCTGCTGGGGCCGGGCCGGAGGGTGGAGCAGAAAGGGGACCCCGGAGCCGAGCAAGGAGGACCAGGCAGTCGCCGCTGCCGCTGCTAAGTCACCACCTGCGCTTAGGTAGGCGTCCTGCTCGCCGACTTTGAGTTCCTTGGGAGGGTGTTGGGTGTCGTCCTTTTCAAAAGTGTTTTGGAGCTTTCTGTGCCCCCCACTTTCCCCCTGCCCTCCCGTGGCCACTTCTCTCTGGATTTTAACTGTTAATGTCTTTACTCTTTATTTAGGGGTGGGGCATTTGTTGTTTGGGTCTTTTGCTGTTGGAATTGGGAACTCCTCCTCCATTTGAGCAACTTGGGAACAATTTGGTAACACACCACAGGAAGTAGCTCTCCCCCCCAGCCCCCTCCTCCCTCTAGGGAGGGTTGGGGGGCCTGTCCAGAGGGTCTTCAGAAGGCCCCTGGGAGGGAGGGGAGGACGAGCACGCCCAGCTCCCCTCCAGGGTGTGACTTGGCCCCTCTGGCTTGTCTTTCTGTGCCTTACTCCTCCTGCGTCTCCCATCCCTGGCCCCTTCTCGAGTCCTTGTGCCTCTCTCTTTCTCTCTTTTTCTTAATTGTATGAAAACACAAAGCACAGGTCAGGATCCTCTGAAAGAAAATCAATCCAACATTGCACCACATAGGGGTGGGTTATGGGCTGTATTTATTGTGAATCTAGTTTGTGAAGCTGTGGCCCCGAGCAGGCGGAGGGAGGGAAGAGAGGAGGGAGTGTCTGGGGAGGGAAGGAGGCCAGCCACCTGGGGCCGAAGGGGCGAAGGGGCGGGCGGGTGGTGCCCGCTACCGAGCTGGAAGCCACAAGGTGGCTGGCCCCTGGAGTGGCTTTTGTCGGAAGTTAAATGAAGCCCTCCCCCTATCCTCAGCGTGCAGCCCTAGAGAACCCGAGGGCTGAGGGGCAGTGGATCCTGCGGGAGTCTCCCGGGGCATGGGAATAAGGCCCCGGGGGTGGGGGGCCGGGTGGGCCGGGCATGACGCGCGGTCAAAGTGCAATGATTTTTCAGTTCGGTTGACTACAGGGTCAGAGCTGAGAAGCGGAAGGGGCTCCCTGTCCAGCCACACATGCCCTTTCCCTCGAGGACAGTCGGGGCCTTGGGCGCTGTGGGCCTGCGGGAGCCAGGGTCTGCGGGGTGCCTGCCCGGGCAAGGTCGGAAGCTGCAGGCCAGCTGGGCCCGGGCCGGAGCGTGCCTGGCGGGGCTGCCCGGCGGGCAGGGGGTGGGGGCTGCTCCTTTCCCAAGTGTTGTTGTGAGGGGCAATGAGGGCGACAGATGTGGGGACATGTTAGGAGAGGGAAAAAAACACAAAAATATATATGGGGGAAATGAACTTTTTTTTTCATTGAATCAAGTGCAATGCATCAGAGAGTTTTCCTATCTTTGTATGTTAAGAGATTGTTAAGAAAAAATTCTATTTTTGTTGTAATGTCCTCGCGGCTCTGGGGACGCTAAAAGAACCGGGCCTGCCCCGCCCTGTGTGGGGATAACGAAAGCTGAGTGTTTTTCCCTTTTTTTTTTTTTTTTTTTTTTGTTCGTTTTTAGTTTTTTTTTTAAAGTCGTTTTCCTGCGTTGACGAGGATGATCTGGGGTTTTTATTTGTTTCGTCTTTTTTTTTTTTTTTTTGTTCGTTTTTAGTTTTTTTTTTAAAGTCGTTTTCCTGCGTTGACGAGGATGATCTGGGGTTTTTATTTGTTTCGTCGTTCGTTCTCAGTTTCGGTGGGAGGGCTGAAGGCAACGTTCACATTTTAGAGTTAAAAAAAAAAAAACACCTCGACATTTGAAAAATCAACCAACACAAGATCAAAAAGGAAAAGGACGAGAGAAAAATTATTTTTAAGATAATTAAACATAAAAACCCTGGTGCTTCTTACATTATAAAATACGTTTTAAAGAACCCACAAACTATTATACCTAAGTTTATGAATCAATTAAATATCCTGCACTTGTTAGGAATACGCATATCCCTTCTTTGTTGAGTTTAACGGAACGGGACAGCGGCGTGCGCCCAGCGGCTGGACTGCTCTGGCCGCGGGTCTCCCCGGGCGCCCCTCCCTGGGGCCCAGCACCCCCTCCTCGCCCCATCCCCGTCCGGGCACAGGGGCGCGGCAGGGGTCCCCGGCCCCTCCCCTGCAGAGGTCAATGTCAACGAACAAACGTCCCCTCCCTCCCTCCCTCTCCTCCCCGAGCGCCCTTCTTTGAGCCAGACGCCAACTTGACCCTCACCAGCATTATCAGGAGCGCGCTCAGCAAGTTGGTAGTTTCCTCCCCCCTTTCCCGGCGCCCCCCACCCATTCAACATCTCTCCTCCTATCCCCGACCCCGTCCGGGGAACACCGGGAAGGCTCGACGCTCCAGGACAGGACCAGCCACACTGACAGGTCGATTTGCCCAGGCCCGCGCCCGCACGCACGCACGCACACGGCCCCGCACACAGCCCCGCCCCACCCCGCAACCAGCCCTGTCGACTGCCTTACACACCCGCCCCCGCGCTGGCCGGCCGACCTAGTGCCTTGTTCTCACCCCCGTGCTGGCGGAGCGGACGCCGCGCTCTGGGTCCCAGAGGGGCCGGGTGGCTCAGACGACCCACCACTCCCCCACCCCGACCGTGCTGAACAGACCCCCCACACGAGAGAAAATAAAGGAGCAATAAAGTCACGAGAACTTTCGTCCCCCAATCGAGAGCCCGAGGGGCACCCCAGCCCCGCCTCTGCTTCCCCCATCCCACCCACCCTGGGGCGCCCCCCCTCCCCCGCAAGCCAGCCTGGGCCAGCCCCGCTTCGGCCCCTCCCGGGAGATCCGTGCGCCCGACCAGCACCAGCATCGCGGACCGCAAAGGCCGCCCGTCCCGTCAAACAAGTTTCTTCTTAGGCTAAGAAACGCAGTATATACGAGTATCTCTATATATAGTACTAATGGATTTGGTGTGCTTCCCCCTTAGCGTCCCCCTCCCTCTGCTCCTCCCCCTTCAGCCTGGTCTCCCCTTTTCTCTGCCCTCCACCCCCGTCTCTGCACTGAGATACATAAGAAACAAGGGTAGTTTACTGTCTGTTTTGTTTTCTGGGTTTTCAGTGTCCTAGCGGAATGCAAGTAGGCAGCCAGCCCGTCTGTTCCCTCTCCGCCCCGCCCCGCCCTGCCCCGCCCCCGTCACTGCGCTTCTGTTATACCATCTTTGCCTGACTCTCTCCGGCTTCTCCATTGAATGGCTAATGTGTATGTGAAATAAAGAAATAAAGAAAAACAAACGTAAGAGCGCCTGACCCTTCGCTAATGCGACCGTGAGGGGACCGGGTCGGAGTCGGTAGGGTGCCTCCCCGACGTAAATTCTGCGCCTCCCTACTAGCGCCGGGAGCTCAGCAGACACCGTCTCGACGAGCGTCTGTCCCTGGGTCTCCAGGAGGGGCCGACAGTGAGAAAAGCGAAGGCTCCCCAGCCCCTCCTGGCTTCCCCCCGCGACCCCAGCCCGGAAAAAAAATGAGGCACCACTTGGATCCTATGACTGCTCTGGCATGTTAGTTTGCCGACCTCGCCCCTGGGAAGAGGACCCGGGCAAGGCCCTTCCAGAGGGTGGTAGGGAATTATTTACGGGTCTGTGGATCCCCTGCGGGACATGATCACCTTTCCGGACCCCCAGACCTTGCCCCTGACGTCTTCACTGGTCCTTCTCCGGGGGCGTTTGCTCCCGAGCACGCGCAGCACATCCTCTGCCCTTTCCTCGACGGCCCTGGGCCGAGTCCCTGGTGCCCTCCGGCTCAGAGGCGCAGCCGCGTGGGGTCACCGCACCTCTGGGCTCAAAGCGGCTTGCTCCATCTTGATGGGCCGTGCCGTCCCACCGGGGCTGCCGTCGGGGCCGGCTAGGGGCGCGGGCTGCGAGCGTGCTGCCGCCTCAGCCCTGCGTCCAGATCCCCGGCGGGCGCCGTCGTCTGGGACCCGGTGCACCGGCCGTTTGCGGGGCGCCGGCGGGGTGGGGCCTGCGGCCAGAGCTGCTGCTTGGTCGCGCAGCAGCCGCACCAGGAAGCCGATGTACTTCATGGCGAGGCGGAGCACCTCGTTCTTGCTCAGCTTCCGGTCGGGCGGGTGCGTCGGCAGCAGCTTCCTCAGCTCGGCGAAGGCACCGTTTACGTTCTGCTGCCGCCAGCGCTCCCGGCTATTGGTGAACACGCGCCGGGCAACCTTCTGGGGCTGGTGCCCTGTGGACAAGGAGGGCCGGGTTGGCGCCAAGGCCCAAAGGGCGGCCCCTCCTGCCCTCCCGCCAGGCACTTAGCACCCTCGTGGGAACTTAAACCCGGGCCATGGGCTGGGGCTTTCTCCACCCAAGGAGTCCACGGGTAGCTCTCCCCAACCCTCCCAAGAGCGACCCACACAAGGATCACCACAGACCCAGGCTACGGACAGCAGGGGCCTGCTCCATCTGTGACTCTGGGCAACTTTATGTCAATGGCTGAGATTCCCTAAGGAAAGATTTCCTTGTGGCTGTTTGGTCTGGGAAGCTGTCCCTGCGGCCCTCATTCTGAGTGTGGCCACGTGTGGCTGGCTGGGTGTACTCATGGGTCTGAGAGGTTCTCTCATTGTGACTATCTCTGTCCTGTGTCTCATGTGGCTTGTGTGCAACTCTTGTTATGGCTGTGGTTATGTGTGATGTTGCCAGGTGGCTGTTTCATGAGTGGCTGTGGTTGTGTGGCTGACTCTTGTGTGGCCATGATCCTAAGTGGTTGTGGTCCTGAAGCTGGGTCTTGCATGGCTGTGGTCTTGTGGCTGTCCTTTGCGTGGCTGTGCATTCCAGTGGAGCTGTCATTTTGTGGCTCCCATGCCCTGGTGTGGCATGCTGTTTTGCCGTGACTGCAGCTACGGAGGCTTGGCCTGTTGGGTGGCGGTGGTTGTGTGGGGCTGGCTATTGGACTGTGGTTTTGCACATGGGTAGAACCCGTGTGTGCGCTGTTCTGTGTGTGCTGAAAGCATCTCTCCCCGAGGTGGAGTAGAGGACAGACATGAGCCCCACAGAGAGACGGCCAGCCTTCCATGCACACACAAGTGCACACATGCACACAAACCCACACTCACCCTCAGCCAGGTCCAGCTCACAGTGGCTTGGTCTTCGCTTCAGCCGGCTGCTAGGGAAGATGCTGAAAGGTCCTGCTGGCCCAATGTAGACACTGTAAGGGGTCATGGGTCACTAATGCCTCGTGGGCAAGGACCCTCGTCCCCAGTTCTCACCCCACCCCCGCCCCAGCTCCCCACTGACCTGTTGAGGAAGGGGTGAGGGTGGTAGTGCAGGGCCAAAGTGGGTGGGGCAGGTCCCAGGGTGGAGAGTTGCAGCAGTGGGGGCCGCAGGATGCCCAGCTCTGTGGTGGGCATGGCTGCCCCCGGGGGCCTGCTGTGGCCCAGGCTAATCACCGGCACACCAGGTGGCAGCCTAGGTGGGGAGGAGCCTCCTCCGTGGCCCACCTCCTCTGCCTGTGGGGACCCAGGCGAGGCAGGCTTAGGGAGTGGGGTGGGTGCTGGGCTGGGGACACACACCATCTCTGCCTTCTCAGTCATGGTGGGGCCCACCTCTGCCTGTGCCTGAGGCGGGCACATGGACCCCGACGTGGGGGTACTTGCCTGTGGGAAAGAAGGCAGCCAGTGGGGAGGAGGACCAGGTGCCCCGCTCCCACCTGCTTAGCCCAAGAAAGCCCTCAAATGGGAAGGAGGGAGGGGGAGGGGGAAAGGAGGAGCAGAGGGGTTTCAGTTGGCAAAGGCAGATGGTGGTGGAAGTGGGGGGTGGGGGGTAGGCCCAGAAACTTTCAGGACATGGGAAGGAGTCCTGCATTAGCGTAGGAGGCGCCCACCGAGGTAATAGGCAGGGCACTGTCCCTGGGCTCTTTGTGACCTAGGAGGGGTGCTGTTGCCCAGCCTCTGAGCAAATATTCCTTCTTCCACAGTTCCCTCACCTCTGCAGCCTAGAGAGGGAACAAGACAGGGAGCCTCTAACTGATCCTGGGATCCTCAGAAACCCCGAGATTAACCCTGTTACCCTCAGATCTAAAGATCCGATCCAGAGACTCCTCATTGACACATTGATGCCATGTGACCTTGGAGTCCCTCCAGGATGGGCTCTGACCCTTCACGGATACGCCCTTAGCCCCCACCCAGGGTGACTTCTGCACCTCAGAAATGACCATGCAGTTCTTCCCATTGCTGTCCCTAAAAGTACTCAATAATTGCTCTAGTGACCCCCCACTTCCACCACAAATGTCCCCCATAGCAGCCCTGTAAACTACTGACACTACGACCTCAAATGCTGACCCTAGACCCCCAAACACTGACTCCACTGCCCAATCCAGTTCAGTCATGCCCCAGCCCTCCCTCTGGCTTGGAAGCCCCCACCCTCATCAGCATCCACACTCTTTTTGTTGTTTTTTTGGTTTTTTTGAGATGGAGTTTCACTCTTGTTGCCCAGGCTGGAGTGCAATGGCGGGATCTTGGCTCACCGCAACCTCCATCTCCCAGGTTCAAGCGATTCTCCTGCCTCAGCCTCCTGAGTAGCTGGGATTACAGACATGCGCCACCAGACCCGGCTAATTTTGTATTTTTAGTACAGACGGGGTTTCTCCATGTTGGCCAAGCTGGTCGCGAACTCCCAACCTCAGGTGATCTGTCTGCTTCAGCTTCCTAAAGTGCTGGGATTACAGGCATGAGGCACTGCATCCGGCCTTTTGTTTATTTTTTAGAGACAGGTTCTCCCTCTGTTGCCCAGGCTGGAGTTCACTGGTACAATCATAGTTCACTGCAGCCTCAAATTCCTGGGCTCAAGCTATCCTCCTGTCTCAGCCTCCTGAGTAGCTGAGAGTATAGGCATGTGCCACCATGCCCAGCTAATTTAAAAAAAAATTGTTATTTTTTTTTTTTGTAGAGACAGGTTCTCACTCTGTTGTCCAGGGTGGTCTGGAACTCTTGGACTCAAGTGATCCTCCCACCTCAGCCTCCGAAAGCGCTGAGATTACAGGCATGCACCACCATGTCCTACCATTCACGTTTGCACTCTGTTTTGACATCCCTGTTGGCTGTTGGTTCCAGAGTCCAGGATGTCCCAGCAAGGTGTGAGACTCTTGGCCCCTCTGCCCTGTCTTCCTCAGCTAGGCCCTGCGGAAGCAGGTCTGGCCCCTCACTAGTGGGTCCCTGCTGATGAATGAATGAATGAATGAATGAACAAAGGAATGCAGGCTGGGTCTCAGGCCCAGGATCCTCCACCTTCAGGCCCGCTCCCCTCTTACCCCAGCACTGTTTCCGCAGCCTGGTGAGCACCCTGGCTCTGTCCCGTCAGGGCTGGCAGTCTGGGCCAGGATGTGGTTTCCAGCGTCAGGCCAGGCTCTGCTGTCCCGCTCCGGTCCGGCCTCAACGCTCCAGGCCCGGGCGTTGGGCCGCGCCTCCTCGTGGGCCTCGGAGGGCCAGGATGGCTGAGGTCTCCGCGTAGGCCCCCCCAGGGAAACTGAGCAGCTCCTGGCGGGACCGCCCTCTCTCCCCGCCCCCGGCGGCCCGGTTTCCTCCCTCTCACCCCTGGCGGCGCAGCGGCCGGAGGATGCTGGCCCAGTGCAGATAAGGGCCTGGCTGCCTGGCCGCGCCTGATAAGGAGCCGGGCTGACCCCGGAGGAAACCAGCGGGCGGAGACCTCGCAGCTCAGCCCTCCCGGCCCCGCCCCCAGCTGGCGCTGTCAGGACTCGGCCCGCCACCCCTCAAGACCCCTTGCCTTCCGCTCCCCCAGGCACTGGAGGGACCCTGAGCCTCTGGGGATCCCGGCCCGAGGGCAGCCAGGGAGGAAGGTGCCTGGATGCACGCAGGGGGGTAAACTGAGGCAGGTAAGCTGCCTCCTCTTACGTTGTCTGAGTCTGCTCTCTGGTTTGGAACACCCCCTGCCTGGGTGTCTGTGCTGATGGGGGTGAGGGAGAGCCCTTTCCGCCCGTTGGGGCCGCGTGACCCTGGGGCCCCACCTTCTCCTCTCCTCACCCAGCCTGGTTCCTCTTTTTACAGAGGCCCTTCCTGCCTCTCCACAACCCCTACCCAGGAGTGAGGCACCCAAAGGGAGACAGTTCTAACAGTCTGGCCTTGGGTGTCCAGCCCGGGCAGGTGTTCTCAGCCCTCAGCACAGTATCCACACATTTCCAAGCCCAGGAGGGTGAGAGGAAGTGCCACACTGTCAGGGCTGGGATGGGGAAGTTGGATTTCCTGGGGTGCCAGGGCTAGTGTGACCCAGTAGATACCTGACAGGTCCCCACAGTTCTAGGCCTCTTGGCCACAGACTCATATAACTCCAACTTGGTGGTCCCTGGCCCTCACCCCACAGCACCCGGCCACTTCATAGGGGGCAGGCATCCTGGCTTGGTGTAAACCTCAAGATTCTGCTGGAACCTTCGAAAGGGAGCGGCTCTGGGCACAGCCAGGCTGCAGCAGCCACGGGACTGCCGCCACACACTTGTCACTCATGCTTTGGTCTGTGTGCGTATCTGGGTGACTGGAGAAGCCCCCAGACAGGAACCCAGCACCAGGGCTACCACCACCCTCCCAGGAATGGGGAGGAGCCCAGGACTCCACAATCGACACCTCCATTGCCTCCCTCCAAAGAAGCAGGAACTGGCTGGGCAAAGTGGCTCATGCCTGTAATCCCAGCACTTTGGGAGGTCGAGGTGGGCAGATTACCTGAGGTCAGGAGTTCAAGACCAGCCTGGCCAACATGGTGAAACCCTGTCTCTACTAAAAATACAAAAATTGGCTGGGCGTGGTGGCAGGTGCCTGTAATCCCAGCTACTCAGGAGGCTAATGCAGGAGAATCACTTGAACCTGGGAGGTGGAGGTTGCGGCGAGCCAAGATTGCGCCATTGCACTCCAGCATTGCAGACAAGAGCAAGACTGAGTCTTAAAAAAAAAAAAGCAAAAACTAAAGTTTTATGCAATAAAGGCTGGGTGTGATGGCTCATACCTGTCATCCCAGCACTCTGAGAGGCTGAGGTTGGCAGATCAATTCGGGCTTATGAGTTTGAGACCAGCCTGGGCAACATGGTGAAACCCCGTCTCTACAAAAAATACAAAAAGTAGCTGGTTGTGGTGGTGTATGCCTGTAGTCGCGGCTACTCTGGAGGCTGAGGTGGGAGGATGGCCTGAGCCTGGGAGGTGATGATTGCAGTGAGCCAAGATCATGCCACTGCACACCAGCCTGGGCCATACACCTAAATCTTGTCTCCAAAAAAAAAAAAAAAAAAAGTTTAAACACTGAAACTAACTCCAATATCCCTACAAGGAGGGTCCTAAGATTAGCCTCATTACAGATGCGGATGAAGGGAGCAGGAGCCAGAGAGGATCCTGGGCAGGATCCCTGCCCCAGGCCTCTTCGTTAACGTTACTAAACCCCGCTCTGGGGGACAGGGAGGGATGCAGCTCCCCCTCACTGGGTGTCTGGGCAGCAGAAGGCGAGGTCCCTCACTGTGTGCACGCCCCCCTGGGGCCTCAGGGCAGGAAGCACCTGGTCTGGAGCGGATGCACAGGGCGCCTGGTTCCGGTCCAGCTTCCGCCACTGCGGCCCCTGGAGAGCTAGGCCGAAGAAACCAGGCGGTGAGGAGGCAGCAGCGCGAGGGTAAGTGGGGGATCCCGGGCAGGAGCGCTGGCCTGCGTGCGTGCCCGCGGCGGCCGAGAGCGCACTGAAGGTGGGAGGGGGAAGGGGGGCACACCCCGCGGGAGCGAGCACACAGCTGCCCCCTCGTGGCCGCCTTGGGAACCGCAGGCGCCGGCTCTGGGGTGGCTCAGCGACCTTTGATGGAGAGGGGCTGGGCCGACCACTGTGCAGATGGTCAGCTCCTACCTCCCATACAGACTCAGCGCTCCAGTCAGGCAGGGGCGAACGACCCCAGAGGAACGGCCCCCAGTCACGCAGCTGTATGGACCGATACACAAACCACAGGCAATCCGGAGGTGACGTGACATCTCTTTATTGGTTCAGTCTATGCCTGGCTCAGCGGCAGCCCGAGGCCAAGGGGGCTCTGGTTAGAAGTCTCTGGACAGTCAGGGACAGCATCAGCAGAGACCCCCCGGGCCGGGGGGCTATGGGAGTAGCAGCACTGGTCCCCGCGTTGACAGTTACCCTGGTGGGAAGATGGTGGGTGTGAACCCTGCCCCGGAGCTCAGTGACCCCTAATGGGTTCCTTTCCTGGAATGGAAAAGCCACTCCCAAGCACCTGCCTGGTCCCAGTTCCCCCAGTTCTCTCCCAGTTGCCCAAAGAGAAGAGACTCATGTGTCCTGCAGCGGGAAAGGGGAGGAGGGATCTCACCTCCTTAAACCTCTTGCAAGGAACTGTCTTGAGCCAGGCAGCCCGCTGGGCTGCATTTTCGGGTGGCTCCTTCCGCTTGTTCCGAAGCACCATGTGTCTCTCCTCCATAGCTTCGTCGGCTGCCTTGCCCCTGTGCAAGCGGTGAGTAGATGGGACCCCATCTGTCCTTTGCCCTTCCTTTCCCTGGCTAAGATCCACCCCCACCCTACCACCACTCACCCTGGCCGGGCACGACGCCGGGGACCCCAGTTGGCCTCTGGGTTGACCTGGAAGCGCTTGAGCCTTCGCTGGCGGGAACTGGGGTTGGCATCTTCCCGGATGGTGAAGTTGGCCTGCAGCCTGGGGAAGCAGGGGTAGGGGGTCGGGGCTGGAGGCAGCTGCCACACGAGTGTGTACTGAATGCCCACAGGGCCTGTCTGCCTCCACTACACAGCATGGGGTGTCTGCTCACATTAGGACTCTCATTCATCTAATAAACATTTTGGTCTTTTTAAAGAGATAGGGTCTTGACCGGGTTCAGTGGCCAATGCCTATAATCCCAGCACTTTGGGAGGTTGAGACAGGCAGATCACTTGAGGTCAGGAGTTCAAGACCAGCCTGGCCAACATGGTGAAACCCCATCTCCAATAAAAATACAAAAATTCGCTTGGCATGGTGGCGGGAGCCTGTAGTCCCAGCTACTCCGGAGGCTGAGGGATGAGACTTGCTTGAACCCAGGAGAGAGAGGTTGCAGTGAGTGGAAACTACACCCCTACACTCCAGCCTGGGCAAGAGAGTGAGCCTCCATTTTTTATATATATATATATATATAT